ATATATATATATATATTGATATATGTAAAATACCTATTGAATACAGCGGTTTTCTTGTGAAATTTCGATGTAAGTTTGTGTTTTTTTTCTATCGTGAAAATTTTTAGGAATTTTGTTGTCACACCATACACTAATCAGTATATATCCCCAATTTTACTATATATTTTTTACAAAGTGATTGGATTCAACTTCAACACTCTCACTGTTATACGGAATCAACCAAAGCCATTTGAGTTTATATTGACTCTTAATAAATAGCACCTAAGTCCAATATTAAGTGCCTGTCTCGAGCCACCGACGCGAAAAGCACGTCATTTTCGCTCTTATCACATAGACTTAAAACTTTTTCTGGCTCAAGCCAATTCCGTGTAATAAATGTAGTGAATAGTCACTACATAGCTAAATGGGACCCACTCGTCACCTTGAAACTTAAGTTGAAAAGTCTCATGCGCCTGTAATTTCACCAGCACCCTTCAAAACCGAAACGCAGTAATGCTGTCATTACTGCTTGACGGCAGAAATAGGTAAGGTGGCAGTACTTCTCTTCCACAAGGACATCTGTTGCAGCTGAATTAATAATTTTAATTTACAACTCTAGGTACAGGTACGGGCTACTCAGTCCTCCAAATGGTGGCAGCATTCGAAGCGGCCAGCGGTCGCAAAATTCCATATAAAATTGTGCCTCGACGCGAAGGAGACATAGCTGCCAATTATGCTGACGTCTCGCTCTCGCACAAGCTTTTGGGTTGGCGTGCAACAAGGACACTTGAAGATATGTGCGCTGATACTTGGAGGTGGCAGAGTAATAATCCCAACGGATTTAAGAAGTGAGGTTTTTTGGGATTATTAGTCTATTCAAGTTAGCGACTTGGTATAGGATCTTCTCTTTCGCACTTCTTCATAAAATATCGAGGACATAAGATGGAGGCACAAGGTCAAGTGAGCGTTAAAATAGTAAGGGCTCGTGCATGAAGGTGTTTAATAAATAAAACAAAAATACTTTATTTATAAATTACTATAATTTTTTTTAACAATCTCACTTTTTACGTCCGTCTTTGTCTTAAATCGAGTCACAGAATAAGAAGGTATCAGTCCATTAAGACAGCCAAAGTCGCAGGTAAAGAGTCGCAGATAGGTAGCAAACAGAAAACACACAGATGTGTAAACCGACTAATTTGCCTGCCATTATGAATGCGGCTTTTGTGACTTATCTCTAACCAATCACATGCGCCTGTGTTTTCTCAGTGCTAGGTCGCTAACTTGAATAGACTATAGGACCAATATGGATTGTGTTCAGTTCAGGTTTATTGAACAATACAATTATGATATGGGTCATTTTGGGGTAACGATGGATCAAAGAGGACTAAAAAAAACGTAAAGCGAAGATTTGACTATAAGATTCAATTATTATTCAAAGTGTAGGCTTTGAGTCACTTTTCATAATCCCGGCGTAAAGTAGTTACCATTAGAAAAAAATCGGAGATTTTGGTGCCAGTCTTGATATTTGATATTCTTGCTGTCATTAAAATAAACTGCTGCTTCAAAGTTACCGACAAATCAGAAGTGGATTAAAAAGAAATCCTAAGTTCTATTTGTACTGTCAGGAGTGGTTATGGTGTTCTACATATCGCTTCGGGGGCAGTAATGTCTGGCTCTTGGAAGAAGAAATTCTTATAAAAACCTCATTTGATTCAACATAAACCGAAATGATCCAATTCGCAATCGATCACGATCCATAATGAACCAATCATCATATTACAGATTTGATCATTGATCTTTTTTATAGAGAATTAAGTAGATTTTGGCGGGAGATAGTAAATAATGTAAAATAATTTGGTGCCATTGCTACAGCTCGATGTATCTTATTACCAAATATTAACCAAAAAGAAAAAATACAACTTTGTTCCTATTAAGTTGCCATCTTATAGTGATATATTATTTTAATCTTGTCAAATATTTAGAAATAGCAAATCATTTATTTATTGATATTTTTCTACGTTTTTACGTTTATTTTAACGTAAACTATATTATTATTACACCAATAGAACGGTATGTACAGAAAACACGTATCTAGTAATTTTCCAAAAATTAAAGTAGGTATTAACGTAATCTAAATTCGGCATTCCGTTTTTTTTTCAAAAACAGTTGATATTGCTAGTAAATGCAAAGCTGCGGAATAATAGAACTAGCCACCGACCAATATAGTAGTGTATAAAACGACTAAGTTATTAAAACTAGTTGAGTGATCTACATTTTTTTTGTGAATATCTAGAGAATATAGGAAATGAAGCTATTTCGGATCTAGATCACATATTTTTGTTTTGGTTTTTCCGTGGTCACGTTTAGCAAAATAAATTTGACCACGGAGCTCACGTTTAAAAATTGGTTATGCTTAAAAAAAAAGTATACGCGATTTGGATACAAAAATAAAATAGTTTCATTTCCATCGTGTGGCAATCGTAAAAACCGAAAAACTCGATACAAGAGAATAGTTTCAAAAACAAAGACGCAAATAACTAATAACTTACCTTGCGCATGAAAGAAAGCAATAAAATTCTGCATAACGCGGTCATACTTGTATTCTCCTTCCCTTTTTGTGGCGGTGTCCTGTTTTGACAGTACTATGATAAATTAACAAAAAAAAGTTGACGTGATGATTTTTTTTTACAGTTGAATAACAGTTTTTAACTACATGGTTCGGTACTGTACCAATAGATGGCGCATCTAAATTTTTTTTTTTTTTTTTATAAACGCACACACTCAACTTAGCCCCGCACTAGGGAAACCCTGTGCCGCGGGTGCCATGGACACATACATAGACAACCACAAATTACACCCAAACTCACGAGAGAAATAAATGTAGGCCATACAAATATTTCGCCCGGCCCGGGAATCGAACCTGGGACCTCTGCGTGGCAGTCCGGCATGGTAACCGTTCGGCCACGGAGGCAGTTTAAATATTTCATAAATTTTTGTATGAACGAAAAGGTAAGGGCGCCTTCCAATTAGACGCATAGAAACGCAGCAATGGCGCAACTGTGACGCAGCAGCCGCGCTTCTCTAATTGTTATTGCAAATGTGGTGCTCGCGTGTCACGACAGTGGCAGATATTATATGAAAATTAATAGTGTACACTGTGGCTTTGCTGTAATCGCCTGATTAGAAGGCGCTCATAAGCTCGGTACAGATTATTTGCAACGCAATATGCAATGCAACGCGAACATCTAAGTACGGTACTACTCTATACATACTAAAAGTGTTTGTCGAAACGCGGACAAGCGACGGATCACAAAGCGCGCAGTGTGTTCGCGACACACTGCGCGTGAACACATTCAAATATATGAGAAAAGAAATGTTGCAAGCCATGTAGTGTTGCAAATTATCTGTACCCGGCTTTAGTGTCAAAATCTAAAGAGAGTCATCTGTTAATCGTAGTAAGAACTAATACTAAGAAAGTAACCATTTACGTAATACAATGTGAAGAGACAAACATTAGCTGCTCTTTTTTTGAATAGACTCCTGAAATAATTATGTGGGTGATTGGAAGGATTTCTCAGCCACACAGTTACATTGACGTGGTTTCTGCGATCGTGTACAGATTCATCAACACACGTAAACCTGCATTTGTGTTATTCACATAAAATTTTATTCATTTATATAAAGTTAAAATGTTTTCCTTTTCCTCTGTGGGAGTTTCGTGCTAACTTCGTTCCAGTACCAAAGTTTTTATTCGCTTATAAAGTTTTAATTTAAGTCATAGACTAAATATTTATAATTTTTTTGTTAATTGAAATTATATATAAATATAATCTAAATTTTATTAGCATTTATTTAATTCATTCCAAAGAACGTCATTGCATTTTTCTTAGCTCTAGCTATGTGGTGTATTGCACAGTAATATTTGTTATTTTAGATAAATATTACGTATTTTTTATATTTATAAGGATTTATTTTATTTATTGGTGCTACTTGTCAAAGAAATAAATTTCAGTTGTTGTATGTAAAATAAATAGTTGTAATGTTATATGAATTGTTTCATTTATTAAAAAAAAAACCCTCAAAAATAACTTAAGAAATACCCGAACCGTTTTATAAATCTGGCAGCACACGTAATAATAGCGATTTTAATTTCTCACCCTCTTGGTATGATAAAGTCACATGTGATAAGAAGAAGTGTTTTATCACACGAGTCAAAAATAATACGAACTACATGAAACGAATTGTGTGTAATTTTATAATTCTCTTTGAGTATAAAAAATATCAACTAATTTCGTTCGTACAATCTTTAAACCTCCTGAAAAAGTGTTATTTTGCAGATTAAAATCCCAGTTATTTACAGGTTTCACAGTTGCGCATACGGTCCGTACGGGCCATCCGCATGTGTAAATTCCGCAGTTGTGAATCGAGTATTTAATTTAGTGCGAATATTCACGGAAGACAGTCGCCTACAATGAACGCACGGGTGGCTTGCGCAGAGTTCACGCGGAGTGTGTTCCGTACGGAGCAATCCGCGTCACTGCAAAACGATGTTCTAATGCCACACGTGTTACCCCGCGGATGGTCCGCAGATAAATCCGCTCTGCACTGCTCTGCAGCCTTATGGTGCGACTGACTAAGCGTCTTCCGGGCGAGTCATAGATCATATCTTTGCTCCAGGGCTAGGTCACTACCTAGCCCTGGAGCAAAGATATGATATGATATGATATGAGGGCAGAGCTAATATTTTTAGTGTTTTAAAATGGGGGCGACTTGATACATCTGGTGTTAAGTTGCAGATGACTCGTATACGCCTCTTTTGAGCTATGAACGTTTTCCCAAAGTCTGTGCCATACCCTCAAATAATAAGGTCGTATCTGAGTGCTGATTCTACATACGCAAAATACGCTGTCATTGCCGTGCATTTATTTGCCACTCTTGTCAACTTATACAGAGCAAAAGCAAATCTATTTATTTTAGTGCACACTTTCTCTGTTTGTTGTTTCCAATTCAGCTTATAATCTATAGTTTATTGTTAGTATTTATTATAATTATTAATACAAAGGTCAACCACTCAGAAAAAATTCCTTCGATCCGGCCGGATTCCAACCGACGTCTTCTAGCGTACCGTGGCAGACGCTATACCAACTAAGCCACGGAACGAAACAGCGGACCTCACGAATTTTTCTATGTGTTTGTTGTCGTGTCTTTGTATTTGATTTTTCGACTTTTTAGCCGTAGCGCCATCTATGAGAAATCTTAAGTATAACGTCACCCAGTTAGATACCTTTACAGCTACCAGCCCTGGCTAGAGATGTCGGTATTCATTGTATTGAAATTTTTATTGAATTGATATTCAATTATTTTTTGTGTGAAATTACTTCACTAGTTTGTTATATCGCAACAATAGTAAATGCAAATAAATTTATTAGTTATATTATGATGCCTCATGTGCCTGTAATTTCACCACATCGCTTTCCCTTCAAAACCGACACGCAATAATACCGACTCACATTACTGCTGGGCGACAGGAAACTCATTCACAAAAAGCTTTACTGCTACAAAAAGTGGCTAAGAACAAGTCATTTATTTAAATAAAAATATGGCCTTGTTACATTAGATGTGTGCGATTTTTCATATTATTATTATTTACTAATTGAAAATTCACTAAAAAGCCATTAGCTTACAAAATAACCAAGAATTATGAAACTATATAATAACTCAAAGTTATAATAATGTGTTAGCGTGTGATGTATTAGGGTGGCTTGGGCACTGGGTTCCGATCGCCCATTATATTATGGTACCTACTGGCAGATAACCAGCGCTGTTTGACTTTTCACGGTCTACAATATATATGTTGAGTCAGGGGGCCATTTCAACGCATACTGTTGCCAATAGGTATGACCAGTATAAAATTTCGTTTTTCTCTACAAATTTGTGCTTTATATCAATGTGTAATAATTTATGTGCTTTGTGTTATACCTTGTGAAGTGATTGTAAATGTTTGTTTTTGCTTGTACTTGTAAACATTGTTCCTTGTACTCATTTACTTATTTAGTTCGTAGAACTTAAGGCGCAGTATAGAGGGCAACTATTTGATTATCACCATGTATTTTAATCTATTGTAATCTATGTTGACGAATAATATATTTGAATTTGAATGAAATGTATGAATATACATAAAAAGCATATATTTAAGTTATAAAGCAAAACTTGGAATTTTGACTTACAACAATTTACGTAGGAGGTATCGATCTATTTAAAAAACGAAATCGTGTAAAGAGTGTGATCATCAAAAAGATTATAAAGTGTAAACTGAAGTGATTTTCCATCACGCAATGCCCACATAGCACTTGTGCCGTTGGCATTGGTCCGTTATTTTCGAAAATTAAAAAAAAATTCGCTATCGACAGATGTTAACAAATCAATTTTTGACCTATTATTGATGATATGGATATATTACTAACATGTGATTTCAACAAAACACTGCCACAAGTCCCACAGCCAGCGAACCAATGAATTTATTGCAAACCAAATTTCCCGATCGCACAATTTCACTAAATTCAGCCGTTAAGTGGCCAGCTTGATCATGTGATTTAACAACGCTGGATTATTTTTTATGGGATTATGTTAAAGTCAGAGTCTATACGGAGCTAATCGAATTGATTGCAGCCTTAAAACTCAAAATTCGTGAAATGATTAACGAGATAGACCCACCATTTTGTCAAAAAGTGATTAAAAACTTCGATGAAAGAATCGACATCTGTAGTAACTATCGCGGAAAAGATTTATCAGATACCATTTTTCATTCATAACTGCCAAACCTCACTTTTTTTAATACAATAAAAATTTGAGTCATTGTCATAAATTTAGTGTTTTGCTTTGATTTGCAAAATAAAGTTCTTGCTGAAAAACCCTTTTTGTTTCAATAAAAAAAAATTGTTAAAGCTTTTTTTTATCATTTCTAGATGAATACATAATTTCACTAACCTTTTTATACATGGCTGATGATAGTTGCCTGCTCGACAAAAACGTTACACCACACTAACCTCCTTAGTGCAAAGAATACTTAGTAATATTTTAAAAATACTGTTTGTTAGCGTAAACGCTTACAAACGATAACCACTCGTTATCCACGTCCACGCTTTTTCAGCATTGGAGGCCCTCGGTTATTACACAACTATTTAAACAATAAGACTAAATAATAGGATAAAATATTCTTGTACTTTGCACAGGATTGCGAAACACGAGCTTATGAGGGTATACCTACGTTACAAGGCATTGTTGACTTACAATTGGAAGTAGTTCAACAAAAAGGATCCAAGCACATCCAGTCACTTTTGAGATATGGCAGTTTAACATAGACTTACAATAAGTCAATGCAGTTTGAAGTTTAAAAGCGCTTCTCACTCTTGTTTTATTTTCAAATCTTATAATGCCATGTAACTCCATAGATATTTATTTATGTTTATATATTGGATTTTTTACTGATCTAAGAGGAACTTCTTTAGGAACCGTTTGGTACATACATTGACTTACAAATAAATGGACGACGGGTCTAATACAAAAACCACGAAAAAAATGTCCCAAGTCAACCTATTTAAACGTAGTGACATTTCAAGGAATATGAAAAAGCTAAAACGTTGAATTTAAATTTTAATGTCATCGCAGTACCTACTGTCTAATTTTGCTTGTTTCGCTGTCAGTCGAACAAACGAAGACTAGAGCGTGAATGATGCTCTGTATACGATTTTAACGCCCTATAAGTTCGGACACTTTTTAGCGCGGACCCGACGTCCATATAATTGTAAGTCAATGGGTATAACACAACATATAACTTACTTTTTGATGAATTTGTGGATT